TCCAATTTATTCAGAAAGTGTATAAATAACAGGTGAGTGATGAAGTCATTATAGTCTGGAGAACATATGACAATAAAATTAAGCCTCATTGCTTTTCGCAGGATGACATGGCTGTAAGAGGGTATTTCAAAAGTTCATGGAAACAAAATTAAATGGTAAACCTGTTTTGGTGCAAAATTCTTGAACTCCATGCATAGATTTTTCATCATAAGCATTTTCCACGAGCTTTTGGAAGATTCCTTCACCTGCATGGGTTTCAAAAATTTTTGCACCAAACTAAGCTTGTATTTTTAACTCCAGTTTCCACAGAGTTCTTAAGGCACTCTCAGAAGTCCCCAACTCCTGCAGAGCATAGGCCTCTCCCCAGTCGTAAGCCAGCCAACTTCCTTCTGTACAGAAAATCACCTGGCGTGGATAGAGGAAGTTATATGCATGTTCATATGCTTGTGTCCCGGCAGAAAACTTGATGGGTTCTCGATTTTGATCTCCCTTACGTATGTTTGCATGCATTTCAGTCAATGACTGTAATGCTCCCAACGTTCTTCTCTAATTAAATATCCATGGAGCAAGCTCACCAAGGTTAGTCCCTGTCCATCTCACGCAAGCGCACATTTGCATGCAAGAATTAAAACAGGTGTCTGGACTCCAGTTGGAAAGGAGACCAAGAGAGCCAGAGAACCCTTTATCTTTCCATTTCCTCACTTTGATGGGCTCATATGCAGCCTCCAGGAAACCTGAGGCTCCACCAGTCACTGCTGTGACCCCAGAGCTCAATCCAGAAGCAGCTGTCCAGAGCTAATTTATTTCCTAACGCTGCGGCACTGTTAATTTATAAATTACACTGGTAATTCGAGCTATTATTAATTTCAGATGGTGTAGGGCAAGCCTAATTAAAATATGACACCAATTGCCACACATGTGTACCAAGGACTACCATTTAAAATTAATGGGAATATTAAGTGTGACACTGGTCTCTGAGATGCTTTGCACAGTAATTATAACATTCTAGCCGGGAGAGATCTGACAAATGTGGGCTTGTGGTCAGTAGCAAATAAACAACGACAATGGAAGGGGGATGACAAATTCTTCATTTTTTTAAAAGATTTATTTATTTATTTGAAAGTCAGAGTTACACACAGAGAGAAGGAGAGGCAGAGAGAGAGAGAGAGAGAAAGAAAGAGAGTCAGTCTTCCATCTGCTGGTTCACTCCCCAATTGGTGGCAACAGCCGGTGCTGCACCAATCTGAAGCCAGGAGCCAGGAGCTTCTTCCGGGTCTCCCACATGGGTGCAGGGGCCCAAGGACTTGAGCCGTCTTCTACTGCTTTCCCAGGCTACAGCAGAGAGCTGGATCAGAAGTGGAGCAGCCTGGTCTCAAACCACTGCCCATATGGGATGTTGGCACTTCAGGCCAGGGCATTAACCCACTGCACCACAGCACCAGCCCCCAAATTCTTCATTTAAACCTCTTTCCTCCATTTCCTCCATTCTTCCTCTAAATATATGGAGATGACAATAATAGCAGTCAAGGCTGTGGAGACACTTCCAAGGTTCTTACATGTTGTATCTCTGAGTCCATTTGGGTTAATGCTTGTTGTCTTTTCTGTGTCCTGGACATTTCAGCCCTGTTATCTGCCTATCGACACGTAACTACCTCTTCTTGGGAAATTGGTGTCGCTTTCTTGCTTTTTATAATAGATACAGCCAGTTTCTTTCCTCTTCTGGTGGTTAATGGAGGGAAGAACGTGGGTTTTTTTTATACATAGTGTAGGTTCCACGAGGAAGGAAGATGTAAGAGGAGATTCTCAAATGGGAAAGTTGATGCTGGCAAACACCTGCCAGCAGAAGGCTCCTGTAACTGTTACTCTCCTTGACACGACAGAAGTAGGCACCTCAACAGTACCATGGAGCAAATACAAGCAGAGGGCACTGCCGGGCCATATATGCCATTCTGCACATTATATTTCCTTCTTTTTTTTTTAAAGATTAATTTATTTACTTGAAAGTCAGAGTTACACAGAGAAGGAGAGGCGGAGAGAGAGAGAGAATCTTCCATCTGCTGGTTCACTCCCCAATCAGTGGCAATGGCCAGAGCTGCACCAATCTGAAGCCAGGAGCCAGGAGCTTCCTCCAGGTCTCCCATGCAGGTGCGGGGGCACAAATGCTTGGGCCATCTTCTACTGCTTTCCCAGGCCATAGCAGAGAGCTGGATCGGAAGTGGAGCAGCCGGGTCTCGACCCAGTCCCCATACGGCAGCTTTATGCGCTACGCCACAATGCCGGCCCTATTTGTTTCTTACCATTACCACTCTCTTGCTCTGGGTTAGCAGACAGCATCCTGGAGGGATCCATGACCTGGGGGACCGTGTCCGTTTGTTCTGTTTGTGGGGCCACTCATGCTCGTGTTGCTTCACTGGCCCTGAGTGTGCTTCCACAGGCTATGGTACTGGCGTTCAAGCCAACAGGTGTGCAGCACATGAAATATTCCAAAGCCCTTTCAAAGATATAAAAACACATATTCACTTGTTGTTCTAAATAACTCCGGGGGGGTATTAGGACTGTGCATCTATTATGCCTGCAGAAATGTTTCCCAGTTGCTAGAGATGATTTTAACTTATGTTGACTGCGCAATGATAGTTATGAATAGCAGCCTCTCTTCTTCTCTTACAACTGACCCAGAAAAAAAGAATGTTTGAAAACGAACATAAAATTGTCCTGGTGGGGCCGACATTGCAGTGGAGTGGGTTAAGCTGCTGCCTGCAACACTGGCATTCCATATGAGCAAGGATTTGAGATCCAGCTGCCCTTCTTCCAATCCAACTCCCTATTAATGTGCCTGGGAAAGCAGTGGAAGATGGCCCAAATCCTTGGGTTCCTGCCACCCACAAAGGAGATCTGGATGGAGTTCAAGGCTCCTGGCTTTGACCTGACCCAGCTCTGGCCTTTGTGGCCATTTGGGGAATAAACCAACAGATGGAAGATCTCTCCCCCCACCCCCATCTCTCCCTCTCTCTCTCTCTGTAACTCTGCTTTCAAATAAATAAATATTTTTTTAAAGATTTTATTTATTTATTTGAGAGGAAGAGTTACAGACAGTGAGAGGGAGAGACAGAGAGAAAGGTCTTCTATCTGCTGGCCACAATGGCTGGGACTGCCCTGATCGAAACCAGGAGCTTCCTCTGGACCTCCCAAGTGCTTGTGCCATCTTCTACTGCCTTCCCGGGCCACAGCAGAGAGCTGGATCGGAAGTGGAGCAACCGGGACTAGAACCAGCGCCCATATGAGATGCCGGCACTGCAGGCGGAGGATTAACCTACTGTGCCATAGCACTGGCTCTAATAAATAATTAAAAAAAAAAAAAGAAATTGTCATGGATTAAGATATTGTTATCCTTAAATAACCTAGCTGTTAATAACCGTAGTTATCCCCACTTACCAGATGAGAGGATAATCTCAGATGTAAACAGTTGTTTTTATTCTTCAATTTTATTTTAAAAAAGATTTATTTATTTTTTTGAAAGTCAGAGTTATAGAGAGGGAGGGAGAGACAGAGATACCTTCCATCTGCTGGTTCACTCCGTAGAAAACTGCAGGGGCCGAGGCTGGGACAGACTGAAGCCAAGAGCCAGAAGCTTCTTCCAGGTCTCCCACATTTGTGCAGGGGTCCAAGCACTTGAGCCACCTTTCACTGCTTTCCTGGGCCACTAGCGGGGAGCTGGATTGGAAGTACAGCAGCCAGCCAGGACTCGTACCAGCGCCCACATGGGATGCTGACATGGTAGACGGTGACTTTACCTGCTACCCCACAACGCTGACCATCTTCTTTGTCTTTTAACTTTGAACTCTTGTCTAGTCTATAGTGTCTAACTGAACACCAGTGGCCAGACATTAGGTGGGGTATCTGATAGGCAGAGGATAGCTCATATTTTCCTAGTTTTTCACTATTGAAATTGAGCCTAAGGGCAGTTGGATCACAGAGATGTGCAGCCCTGTCTTTATTTGTTGCCATGCTTCTGTTATGGACTCAAGTTCAGGGTCCCAACACTGGTCTGTGTTTAGGATCTTGTCACTAAGACCTTACTGACATAATTTTTAAAAAATTGATTTTTGGGGGCTGGCGTTGTAGTGCAATGGGTTAAGGATGTCCTGTAGCACCGGTATCGCAAAAGGGCACCAGTTCTAGTCCTGGCTGGTCCACTTCCAATCCAGCTCCCTACTAACGCACCTGGGAAAGCAGCAGAAGATGGTTCAAGTCCTTGGGCACCTGCACCCACATGGGAGATCCAAAGGAAGTTCCTGGCTCCTGGCTTCGACCTGGCCAAGCCAAGCCTGAGTCTTTCGGCCATTTGGCCATTTGGAGAGTGAACCAGTGGATGGAAGACCTCTCTCTCTCTCTCTCTCTCTCTCTCTCTCTCTCTCTCTGTCTTTCAAATAAGTAAATATGTAAAAAAAGAAAATTGACTTCTGCCTATCCAACTGATAGTCTTACCTTTGGGAATCTAAAGTTAAATTTTTTGTCCTAGTATTTGCATTGCCTCTGTGGCCTGTCTCGTGTGTGTGTGTGTGTGTGTGTGTGTGTGTATGTGAAATTTTTAGCTGATTCCTGTCCAGGGCCAAAGTCAGCTGCTCTCAGTTGAGATACCCTCAAATGATACCTACAGACCAGAAAGAGTTAAGCGGGCACTGAGATCCCAATGCCGTACCATTTTGTAAGTTCAGGCAGTGTAAATGTCAGAATTATTAATCACTTAGAGAGCACCAGTGTTCTCTAGGCTCTGTGCTCCATTCAGTTAGAAATACAAACATTTCAGCTGTCCACTGGGGAGTTGGTTGTAGAAGGGATGGAAGTGATGCGGAGGGAGACTCGGGGCAGTCCCTGTGAATCTGAACTCACTGGTGCCACAATTCTCTGCAGATGTAACCATGCTATAAGTTGTCTTCCAAGTTTATACTTGTGGTATTTTTTTTTTATTTCCCTTTCACTCTCCCTGCCTTCTCTTGCAGCTGTTGGCTTTGTGAGTGAAGACGAATACTTGGAAATTCAGGGCATTACTCGAGAGCAGTCAGGGGACTACGAGTGCAGTGCCTCCAACGATGTGGCTGCGCCAGTGGTGCGGAGAGTAAAGGTTACCGTGAACTGTAAGTGCTCTCACCACCCCTGCCCCCCGACACCCCACACACCCCATCGTGGCCACAGCCATGAGCTGTCAGCAGGCCCGTGGTAGGGCCAGCTACTGACTCAGGGTGGGAAATAGTGCAGCATCATTGTCCACACTCTTCAGAGGCAACAAGGTTTGCACACCTCTAGGTAACAGGGTCAGCATCGTGATGCCGGCACCCATATTGGAGCACCAGGCAGAGTCCCATTGACTCAATTTCTGATCCAGCTCCCTAATGCACCTGCGAGGCAGCAGATGATGGCCTAAGTAGTTGGGTCTCTGCCACCCACATAGAAGACCCATATGAAGTTCCTGGCTCCTGTCTGAGACCTGGCCCAACCTTGGCTCTTGTGGCCATTTGGAGAGTGAATCAGCAGATAGAATCAATCAATCAATCTCTCTCATGCACGCGTGCTCTCTCCCTCAGAATCAGTCTCTCTGTGTCTCCACCTTTCAAATAAAAAATAAATAAATGAAGTGTCTGAAAGTAATTTAATATAGTAGCAAACTTCACTTTCATGGCTTAGGGGGCACTAAACAGCCCTCAGTGGATAATGCGCCTTCAAGCCTAGATTTTCCTTTTGTGTGCTCATACAACATAGCTGTCCTGGAACCTCTCCCCTTCTACATAATGGAGCAAAATTCATGTGCGACCATGTATGGAAGAACTATGAGAACTTAGATTTGTGGTGTGTTTATTGCATATCATCCTCGTACTACCACAGATGTTGATGTCTGTGGTATACACCAATAGGCACATGTGCAGGCAATCAAGAGTATGTCTCAAGTGGTTTTTCCTGGTAGAGAAGCAGAACCCAAAGTGTTTGGAGACCACTGCTTTATCAGCCATGCACGTCCACACCAACCTTGATCCTACACAAGTTTCTGCCCTCTCATTCACCTCTTCTCCCTCTGTTCTGCATTGTGTGTGCTGATTCAGTTCTCTGTGACATTCTGAAGGTTTTCTTTGTTGTGTGCACTCTGGGGAGTCCCAGGATAGAACAGAACCTGAGCTCTAATGCAACAGCCAAGAAGCCTTCCTGCTTCAGTCTGTGGGGAGGGTGGAGAGAGGGGAGGAATGTTGTGCCTAGGTGAGTACACATTCTTTTTTTTATAAAAAAATAGATTTATTTATTTATTATTTGATGGGGTTGCAGAAGAGGGAAGAAGATAGAGAGAAAGAGACAGTCAGAGAGAGAGAGAGAGAATGTTTCATCTGATGGTCTACTCCCCAAATGCCTGCAATGGCTAGGGTTGGGCTCAGCCAAAGTCAGGAGCCAGTTCACCTGGGCCTCCCACCTAAATGCAGGGGACCAAGCACTTGGACCATCTTCTGTTAGCTTCCCAGGTACAACAGCAGGGAGCTGGATCAGAAGTGTAGAAGCTGCAATGCAAACTGATGCCCATATGGGATGCCGGCATCGTGGGTGACAGCTTAACTCGCTATGCCGCAATGTTGGCCACAAATACACATTCTTTAAGATTTTGGTTCCTGTTAGAGCGTGAACCTATTAAATATGAAACACTTTAAAAAGCAAGGAAATAGATATAGCAAGCCTAAAACTTTTTTTTTTTGCCTATCTCAGTTTTTCTGAAGGGATTTACAAAGTTATACAATTTATAATTATAAAACGCAAAGAACGGGAAGCAAAGGAAAATGCATGAAAGCTAAGGAAAAATCAGCATTTGAAATGCATACCACAAAGTTTCCATTGCTAAAGTAAAGAGAGCACATATCACCTTCTTTACGATTTACGTTGTCCTTAAGATTAAAGCAAGTTATCTCCCTGGGTGAAACACTGCTTTTCCTGGTCTTGAAATCCTGCTGAATATTCTCTTCAGGATCTCTACAAATAGAACCCTTTGAGACTAATGTCAATAACTCCACATACAGTATTTCTTCAGTAACAGAAGAGTAAGTTTGTTGCGACTGTTTTCAATAATGTCCTTTGGTGCCAACTGCTGGGAAATCAGGGGTGGTTCGGTGAAGACTACAGATGAAAGCAGACTAGGTCTGCCAGACTGGATTGGCCTGGGCTGATGCTGGATTCATTTGAGAGAATGCAGTAAAGAAAACTGATCTATATTTCCTCCAGGCAGAGATCCATGACTATTGCTTCTTGCAACTGAGCTTTTGATGGGAACTGCATAGGCTGAGGCTATATGCTTAGGCAAGGAAGACATTCTATAAAGCTGATGAAAGGTCAATGTGCAAGGTGCAGGGCTGCTGGGTTGGCATTACCCTATGGAAGCTAAGAAATCTAAACAGGAAGTAGACCTGAATACCTGGTCATTCTGTCTTGGTACAGTGGAGAAGAGAAGCGATGTATGCTCAGAAGATGGAGCCTTTTCTTAGAACAGCATTAGAAGTGCTTTCATTCCCTGGCACGATTTGGATAGCAGTTTGACAGTGCAAGGAAGCCAAGGTAGAAGAGGGTGTGAAAAAAAAAAATCCATGAATGAATCAGCGTTCCTTGCTTTCAAAGGCATGGTAAATGCTATAGGACTTCTTCTCTCTGCAGACCCACCGTACATATCAGAAGCTAAGGGTACAGGCGTCCCCGTGGGACAGAAGGGGACGCTGCAGTGTGAAGCCTCAGCAGTTCCCTCTGCCGAGTTCCAGTGGTACAAGGACGACAAAAGGTAACGTCCCCCTCCCCTCTACCCCCGCCCTCACCCCCCCAGAAGAAGAGTGCTTTACCACTAGTTCCTGATTCCAGATGGTCTCCAATGAACCCTGCAAATCTTTTTGTGAATTTGTCCTCCATCTTGGAGTGAAACAGTATACAAACACTTCTTTTCTTGATAGCAATGGATTTCAGCAGGGATTTTAATGTTCTTGTGCAGAGTTAATGCTCAGTCATCCACCAAGGAGACCTGTAAGGTAACACTTCGGGTTTGGGGGAGGGGGTTGTTTTGTTTTGTTTTGTTTTTAATCAGGTCAGCAAAGTCACAAGAGATTTCAGGGCCCACAAATTTTTGTAACAAAAGCAAATAATGGGTTCTGCCCGGAGCAATGTTAAACACATTCTCAGACTGGGATTACGGTGTTCGGGGGTTGTATGGGGAGGGTCACTAGTCATGTGGCCAGCAAGTCTCCACTTTGGTTGCAGGTGCATTCCATGGCAAGGCCTTGTCAGAGTCCATGACCTGACTTAGTCCTTCCTTGTGGCCAAGTTCTCCCTCCCCAGCAGGAGGGAAGAGAGAGGACTCTCCCCTTCCTTCCCGTTGTTGGGGCCTCCATCAGGGTGTTTGCTTGAGTTCTCACATGTCATGTCACCGCAGGGGTCAGCAGCGTGGCTCAGCCAGCAACATGGCAATTATCACGATCAAGAGCTATTTTAAGGTGGATGAGCACCGAAGCAGTGCGGGGGAGCTGTCTGTGTTCAGAACATTCTCAGGAAAAGGGTGGTGTGGTGCAGGCCATGCAAAAAAATTTTGGGGAAGAGGAAGCAGGGAGGAAGGAGGAGACGCAGGGAAGGGCAACCAGCCCAGGGACTGCTTCTGAGAAGGAGCCCAGAGCGGGCAGTGCCAGGCCTGGAGGCAGCCAAGTGTGGCCCACGCTGTGCAGAACATCTTCTCCAGAGCTCGGTTTCCTTTCCTGCTGTAGTCACCAGAAGCTCTTTCAGTCTCTGAATCCACAACCGAACCAAGTCGCCGACTGACAGATCACTGTGCCTCGTCACAACCCTTCTGTGAGGAAGAGCAGCGTATTGGGCTTTTTCAGTTTTAGAGGACATATTCTCGTAGCTTCTAGCGAGGTGTGTTGCATGCCTCTAGCCCATTTTATAGAAGGATGAACGGAAGGGGAGAAAGGAGAAACAAACTCACAGAGAAATGAGAAACAGGGCCTGCGTTGGACTCAGCTGGTTAGGCCTCAGCTTGCGGTGCTGTGTCCTAGATCAGAGCGCCGGTTTGATTCCCAGCTGCTCTGCTTCTGATCCAGCTCCCTGCTAATGCACCTGGGAAAGCAGCAGGCAATGTCCCAAGTCCTCGGGCCCCTGCCACCCACATAGGAGACCCAGATGGAGTCCCTGGCTCCTGACTTCCGCCTGGCCCAGCCCCAGCCATTGCTGCCATTTGGGAAGCGAACCCTTGGGTGGAAGATCTCTGGGTCTCTCACTCTCTGGGTGTCACTCTGCCTTTTAAATAAATAAATCTTTAGAGAAAAACAAGGAAGGAGAAGTCCCCAGAAAGTTGACTTTCCTTCTTCCTGCCAAGAATTCCGAATCAAGCAGATAGTTTTTTTTTCCAATAAGCAAACGTGGTTACCTGCCTTAAAAACCCTGAAGCACTCCCCACAATGATCCCTTCTTATTGTGCTAAGAGGAAAACTGAGGCATCAGGATTACACAGCAGAAAGCAAAACAGAAAAACGATTGAGCTGCGGGGTCAGTTCCAGAACCTTCCATTGTCTGAGTCACAGTGAAAACTCTTCAGCTGCCTGCTGTTGCTCTAATTTATGCAGGAGAAAAGTAGAAACAGAAGTCGAGGTGCTTCGGAAAGTTCGTGGAAGGGGAATTAAAAGATAAATCGTATTTGGATGCCAATTTTTTTTTTAATCTGCGTATAAGAAGGGTCTTCAGAAATTTCAGGGGAAATGTATGTTATGGAAAACTGTGCCTGAACAGAAGTAAATAAGACCTCAGCACACATGGAGGGAATAGAGCAAATGTGCACAATGGAGGGGAAAAGGAAGAGCCCTCCCCTTCCCATGGCAGGTGTGGTGCTTGGAGGAGCAGCCTCCTGCTCTGTCACTCAGGAGCAGCCTCTGGGAGAAGCAGAAAGCCTGCCTGCTGACTGTTCTCAGAGGCCTGGGCATAGACAGCTGCTCCCCTCCATGGTCTGAACTCTCCTGGTAGCCTCTCCTTCTCTTTCCTTCCCGTTGGGTTGGCTTGGTCAAGCAGGTGGTCAGTGGGCATATCCTGGCTGCCCGGGAGAGGCTGGCCCTGCCCCATCTCCTGTTCTCCAGTGACATGAGTCTGTGTCATGGGGCAGGCAGCTTTCTCAAAATTTAGGATAGAGGCTGTTTGGCCACGTAGCAGTACCTCTCACTGTGTGAGTTATCCATCAAAACACGAGCGAATGGAATACTGCGCTTAATAAGGGCAGCCAACGAACAGGAACATGAGCTACAAAAACCCTACAGCTCCATGGAGTAGCTAAAGCCCATGCTTGGGCAGCAGGTGTCTGCCCAGGGAAAGGGGAAATGTGTCAGCCCTGGGGCTGGGGGTGCAGGTGGCCAGCCCACAGTGTCTTTAGCTGAAGACACTTCAGAGCTTTCAAGTAGAGAGCATGTTTTGGGTAAGTTCCCAGTGCAGAGCTGAAATCTCGTCCACAGCCTGCTTCAGATGTGAAGCCTCCTCCCTCACTCCCTGTCCTAGGAGTGGTGTCAACATGACAAAACGGATCATGGAGGCTCTGGGCTCACTGCAGAAGCTCCTCGCCCCAATGGGTGGTGTACAGAGCTTTCTATGGACAGCGCCCCCTGGAGGATCAGTATCTACATAACAGGCCAGACACATAAAAATGCCCTCTGGTCACACAGCCAGATGCTTCATGACATCAGAACAGTGCTGGCCTTCTAATGAAGCCCCTGGACCCAGTTCACTATCCCTCACTTTTGAAAGACAACAGTAACCAGAGAAGAAGCTACATCATGAAAAGCAAGGCAAGTCCCTCCAACAACAGCTACTGAGTGAGAACAGTGTCTTCTGGTCAAGGTTACACCATAAACTTGGGGAGGGGGCAGTGGAGAGAATCTTCTGTAATATCCATAAATGACACCTTCAGGCAATGACACAGCAGCTGCCCTCTATGCCAGCCTTGAGTGCTGCCTGTCTTGGTTTGATGGATCCAATACCAGCCATGTCCCCTATATCCACCTGACGTTGTTACTTGTTCCAAGTCCTGCTCCAGGCAGGCCCTAAGCAGCCAACTTAGTTTTGTGTCCCTGTTCCCTAACACCCTTCATTCAGAAGGGTTTCTTGTCCCTTCAGTGTTTCTCTGTCCTGAACCACACAACAAGCTACGAAGCAAGGAATACAAAGGTAGCTTGTAACCCATGAGCTTAAAGAAGACATCTCAGCATTTGCAAAAGGAGTAAAGCTGGTCTTGAATTTCTGTATAGCCTCACGACTGCATTGGGAACGACTGCTGAGGGCCTCCTGAGATAGAGGAAACACTCACGCTGACTCCTACGCCTAGGGCAGCTTCCTCCCTTTATGTCTGCCCAGTAATGAACTCCAAGGGGCAGTAAGAAAACCTGGCTCCGCGATGTTCTTCCATGGCTCTTATGCCCAGCACAGGATGAGCCCTGTGGCATGTTGGGCCATCATAACGCATTGCTCAGGAGACTGGCCCGGCCCCACAGGGCTGTATCTTGCTGTGCTGTCTCTCCCAAGCTCATCCTCTTTCGACACACTCTAGCAGAAGCCCTTCAGTGTTCCCTGATGTGAAAATTATCTCTGATTATATTCTCCTCTTCACAGAAAAAAAATAATAAAATATTATCTGTAAAATGCCTTGAGTGCTTAAGAAGACATTTTATGACCCAGGTGCTTGAAAAACATCTTTCCTGCCAATTGTGCAGGATTTCTCTTGTCTTTGAAGCTTGAGATTTTTTTTTTAAATTAGTTTCATTGTTGTCACCATCGTCACCATCACCATCTTCATTACCACCCTCATCAGCATCAAACAAGTCATCGCCCTTCAGCACCTGTTGCATGCATACTATTGCTCCACTGTCACCCAGCTGGCATGGTGTGCGTGATGTGGTATGGATGACACTTATCCCAACGCGGGGATAAGTGGCTGCACCTGCTCGCAGAGAACTTGGATGTGGGGAGAGGGAGATAAGGTGTACTGAGAAGAGCTTCCTGAGATGTACACACAGAACTAGAGAAATACAAGTGTATGGGTCACTGCCCGGTGGCATTCACTGGAACAAAGAGTGGAGATGGCATGTGAGGAGGGGGCGGTTACGTCGTTAGTCTGAGAGTCTGTCTTCTTCCTGGGAGAAAAGCGTCACCATCTCCTCTTTCTGCTTTGTGTCTCTTGTTTGTCTCAGACTGATGGAAGGCAAGAAGGGGGTCAAAGTGGAAAACAGACCCTTCCTGTCCAAGCTCATCTTCTTCAATGTCTCTGAGCACGACTATGGGAACTACACGTGCGTGGCCTCCAACAAGTTGGGCCACACCAATGCCAGCATCACGCTATTTGGTGAGACTGTGCCCTGAGCCTGGCACTGAAAGGGGAAGGGTGTAAGTGGGGGCGGGGCAGGGAGGGAAGGGTTGGAGGAGGGGAGGAGCTGCAGGGAGCTCCAGCATGGGGTGGCTATCAGAGGTGAGTGAGGCAGGGATGTGGGGAAGGAGCAGGGGGAGAGGAAGAGAGAAGAAACTAGGATATGAAGGAATGCAAATGAAAACGGAAGGTTGAGGTTTCTTTCTCGCAGTCCTACAACGGGAGAAAAGGACTCTGGGATGACAAAGCGTTTTCTGTCATTTTCCTCAGTGATGTCTCCTAACATGACTTTGCATTTATAATTGAATAGAACCGTCAAGAGCCCAGGGAGGGACATTTGCTATTGCAGTACTCCGCTCACGGGGTTCGTAGAAAGTGCTCCCTCTTCTGAAACTTTATCCAGCCATTGGGATGTAAGAGAAACCAAATCAGATTCATCAGAGTAGAATCAGAGGGCTTGGGTCCTAATGGCATTGGCTGCAGATGGAGAAGTAATAGAAAAGGAGCATTTCCCAGGTTCCCCAGGTCAAAAGGATGCTGTTGGCTGGGTTAGGACATCTGTCCATCCAAGCCACCATCTGGACATAATATCACATGGTCACCATTCAACAGCAATGGACTGAAGGACTGATGGGGACCAGGCTAATTGCTCTGGCTTTATCACCACATATCTGGCAGTTGTGATGACAAAAGAAGCAGGTTGACCTTGGTGTCTTGCTTGCTGAATAGAGTAGCTACGTAGCAGTGAGCCTGCCTTCCTGTCTGTCACCAGGCAGGATTTGGCGCATCAGGGGTGGCTTGCAGCCACTGATGGATGCACACACTCACTGCGGACCACAGGATTAATTTTTGGTTGCCTTCATCCCCGGGACATTCAGGGAGCTTGGGATTTTTCAAATCGGTTCCCCCAAACCCAGTGTTAAGGTCCACTCTTGAGTTGATAGGGAGAGAAAGAGGAGGTTTTTGGCAGATAATTGGCAAGTGCATAAATTCCTTTTTTTCCCTGAGAATTCTCAGACAATCCCACAGCCTCAGGGGCCTGCCCTGTCCCCTGTCCCTGCTGCATGCCCTTGGTGGCAGTGTGCACAGCCTGCTCGGAATCACAGCCCCATGCTGCCCATTCCTGCTGTCTCTGATTCCATATCACACCCTGCCTGCCTTCTGCCCACCTTTATCCGGGAGGCTGGGAAGGGGTGGAGCTGTGATGAGACGGATTGATCTGTCTGGCATCCCTCACACAGGCTTGGTCGTAAGCCTCCTTCCCATTTGTCATGCTGTCTTGGCTTTTTGGCAGGTGTCTGTCTGTGCTAACACAGGGCCTCAGGGTTGGAAAGGAGAGATCCCCTCCCTTGCCTTGCAACGCCCAGACTCTCCCTCACTTTCCAGCCCTCAATCCAGGAAGCAGTCTTCCTCCTCCTTTAACTGGTCTCTCTTCCAATGTCCATGTGTGGTGTGGGTTTGCCTTTGGCTTGATCACAACTGTCTGATCCCAGCCCCTCTCCCTTAAACCATCTCAAGATGAGAGTAGGGAAGTGGAGCAAACTTGCTTTGTAGGAATGGAATTGCTGGCGTTCATCATCCAAAAGAGCAGCGAAGCATGAGTGAGAAATGTGCTCTTTCCTCAAGACCCCTGTCCCTGGGTGGCCATTGGAACTTCTGCTTCCTGTCCCTCCCTCCCTCCCATTGCCAGCATCCCATCCATCCTGCGTATCCTTTGAGTCGTGGCTACTATTGCCAGCATTACGGAGTCCAGGACTGTGTAGAAAGCGGTGGTATCTGCTCATGTCAGTTTAGAAAGACTGGATCAAGTCAAGAGTGGGGCCCGTTGGAGAGGGGGCAGTTCTTAATTTTTTTTAAAGGTTAACAGGTTGTTGTTGTTGTTGTTGTTTTAATTGAACTGAACGCTTTTTCTTTCATTGATTTTTTTTAAGATTTGTTTATTTATTTGGAAGTCAGAGTTACACAGGAGAGGCAGAGAGAGAGAGCAAGAGAGAGAGAGAGAGAGAGAGAGGTCTTCCATCCACTGGTTCACTCTCCAATTGGTTGCAATGGCCGGAGCTGAGCCAATCTGAAGCCAGGAGCCAGGAGCCTCTTCTGGGTTTCCCATGTGTGTGCAGGGGCCCAAGCACTTGGGCCAACTTCCACTGCTTTCCCAGGCCATGATAGAGAGGTGGCTCAGAAGTGGAGCCTCCAGGACTCGAACTGGCACCCATATGGGATGCCGGCACTGCAGGTGGTGGCTTTACCTGCTATGCCACAGCACTGGCTCCCCTCCTCCCCCCTGGGGGGCGGTGGCGCAGTTCTCAGGTTGTCTCAGCGCCTTAAGCTACTGTTGCCAAGAGGTAGATCAAGGATTCAGTGTGCTCGAATTCAGCCAGTCAGACACCAGTTCCGTTTCTGAGCCCCACTGGGGAGACCACATGGGTTTCATAGTGCCGTGGAGACAGAGAAACTCCACGAATGTCTGTGATGCGTGTTTTCAAGCCCTTGTCTCTGGCCGAGCCTGATACGGACACTGCTGTGGCTCCTAAGCTCTTTACTGAGGCTCAGCACCTAGGAGGCCTTTGGACAAGCAGGAGTTTGCTAGGGAGTGTCCCATGCTATTCTCATTAAAAGCCCTCAGGCAGACCAATGCCCCTTGGAAAGCAGCATATCCCAGATGTGAACCTGTACCCTCCATGATGAAGTACATTCTCCTGTAGCATTGCAGTGAATTGGCCAAATCATCTTTTTGTCACCAGCTTTGCATGAACTGTGTGCACTCTGCAAGTGATCTAGTTATTGGCTAGTGAGGCTCCTGATGCAGAGGACTGCTCTCCTGGGTCCTGAAGCCAAATGGAAACAGGCTCCCCATGTTGAAGCCACAAGGCTCTGAGCTCCCAGTCTCTAGTCTGCAGAGCTTGTGGGAGGCTCCCACGGCTCTGCTCCCACACTTCTGCACCGCAGTGTCTCTGGGGAGCCTGTGGTCCTATCATGGTTCTGTGAGATCAGAGTTCCTTGACTTTGATCTCCCACGGCAACACAACACAGGTGGGAATGTGGGAGAGAATCTCATCCCAAAAGAGGCTTGGGTCTTTTGCCATCACCTGAGTCCCCTGGCTCAGCACACCAAGGCATGAGTCCACCCACGCTGGACAACGCATTGAGCAGTCAGCTCCTTCCCTTCCCGGCCATCCCGGACAAGCTGGGAAACCTGCAGCCTGTCAGTGTTCCGTCTGCCCCACCTGGTCCTACCTACCGCCTTTGACGTTTGTGTCTTGCTTTATTTATCCATCCCTCCAGAGACGTTTGTGAAGTGCAGTATACAAACTATATATGACAAATATATAGCTACTGTATATAATATATGTGTTTGTTTTCATTTTTCTCTCCTGTATGTCCCTCACCTGGTTTAGAACTAAATGAGCCTACAAGCTCAACTTTGTTGCAAGGTCAGTATCCCCTTGCTTTATGTTTTGTCTCCCCTCCCTCCTGTCCCCAGCTCCTGTCCCTGCCTCCCTGTCCCTGACTGTGCATTACCCGAGGCCACTGTGCCTAATGTTCTTAGAAGACAGTGGGGGCGCGTCCTAGGAGCTGCTGGTGAGCCTTCCCGAGGCTAGCTTCCTCTTGTCTCTCCCCACGCCCCACCCCATCCCGGAGGGCAGGAAAGGAAGAAGGAAAGTGGAACAGCATAGGCGTCTCCAAGAACACAGATCAGCATGAAGGCAGAAGGTTGAAAGTACATCTGGATCCACAGGAAGACATCTCCAACCACTGGCACGGTTTTCATAGCAAGAATTCTGTCAGTGCACCTCAGCAATAGGATCAGACATGGCAGACTTGCCCATTTAAATATCCCATCAAAGGCAGCACTGGCTCTCACACAGGTTCCCAGTGAAGGGAAGGCGGGTGCAGTGCCGCTGCATGGTGGGGGCCAGTAAACAAAGATCTAGAGGGGTCACCACCACGTTGCTAGCTCAGAGCGCGTTGTTTAATCATTCTTTGTTCTTAGGCAAGTCACTGGACCTTGTTTAGACTCAGCTTCCTGTTGTTCTGCCTTATCTACCTTACAGAGTCGTTCTACTGTTCAACAGCGAATGCCTATTTAAAAGGCTTTGAAAATGGTTTGGTGTGTTTTGGTGCAGTAGCCCAGCAGTAAGGCCACTGTACGGGCCATGGAGGGAGTGGCTTTTCCCATCTCCCACCCCTGTCCCTGACCTCCCTCTTCCCACCTAACCCCAGATCCATCCTGTTCTCCTTTTGCTCCATTCACATTCTGGCTGTGCAAACGATCACGGGGGATACAACCGACCTGGGAGGTGGAGAAGGCGATACAGAGAAATAAATTATAGGAGAAGCTGTTTGACAGATGAGGAAAAATAGTTTTATCATGAAAAGAGTCAAGGATGCATTATTCACCACAGTGAATAATACCATGGCGATGAGGTACGAACAAGAAAATGAAACAATGAAATAGAAGAGGCAAGTGAAGTCAGTGGAAGTATTCAGATTCGACTTATGACTCAAGCTATGTTTATTGAGCCCCTGTGTGAGACAGCTTCTCAGATCTGAGGCACAGCATTAGAGAAGCCACTGACATCGGTGGTAAAAGGAAAGTGGGAGAGACCAGCTACAAGAGACGACGCCACAAATCAGCTTTCAGGACTTCCTAAACCAGTTCTGGCTGCTTAGATGTTCATTCACAAATGGAATAGGAGCTTTTAAAACTCCAGTCTCGGTTTCTAACAAGCTAGTGTTAGAAGGTAGATGAAGGTATATTGAAGTGACGGTGGGAACATTATCGCACATCAAAGCCAACAACAAACAGATCGTTTTATCTGGTGCTGAGCATGGGGGATGTGTCAGGCTCCACGGCTCCTCTCTGAGACAGAGCTGGCCTGCCTTCTTCCCTGCTTCTGTGGCCTGATCAGTTTTGGGGTAAACTGTGCCAGCTTTACTGTGATTCTCTGTAGGTGCTCAGCCACCACCCCAGCTGCCATCGTGTTGGGTGAGGGGGAATGGGTCAGGAAGGAAGGTTGATCTTGCAGATGGACAGGTGGAAAGTTCAGCAGTTGGGTTCACGTGGTGCTCAATGTTGCTGGCAGCTCCTTTTACACAGCCCATGCAACTGAGCACAAAGACCTCCCTCACCTGTTGCCATTGTCTCCACCCCTCACCACCATGACCCCCTCTTTGCTCATCTCTGGTAGAAGAGAGAGCTTCCTACTTTCTTAGTGATTCCCCCAAGTCACACTGATCCAGGAAATACCAGGGGAGATTTATTCGATTGCATGGATTTCTGCTGACAGGGGACCCTTGGCTGGAAGAGAAGTCCAGAGCTATTTTGTTGCCCAATATCTGGGTAGACTACAGGCTTTTGATGAGAGAATTTCCATCTTCCCTGGAATTTTCTTCCATGCTCCCTTTTTTGCAGACACAACAGATTGCATGTCACCTTGTAGTATTGCTGTTTGCTGGTTGCTGCACTCCTGCAGAGATAAAGAAAGACTCTGGGGGATGCCACTGTTCCTTTGCACAGGCAAGGAGCAAGGGCCTATGCTGCCGGCTCAGCCTCCCCAGCTGCCCATTTCCCATCCTCCCGTCCTTGGTGCTTCGTCTCCTAGGTGTGACATCTGACTTGATGGCACCAGTGGGCTGGCGACGTTGGGCGGATTAATGCCTGGGAGGCTCACAGTGACCATCAAGCCAGTTCATTAAAGAAGTAAGCCTGGGATGTCAGAAAGAAAGACTGCAGTGGGAGAGGCGATCAGTTGTTCCCTGCAGAGGATTAAAGATAATTGGGCCAACCCGTCCGGCAGTAAGCATTCCTGTGGCACCTGTGTGTCTAAACAACAGAAACTGCCAGTAGAGAAGAAAAAAAATCCCTCACCGTCTTTCTAGAAAGTTTGTACACCCATCCTCACATGAAATCAGTGCCCTCTGCCTTTATCATCCAAAAGCAGTCTGGGGCTTACTTGGATTCCACTTCAAGTATTGGCTTTGCTGGCAAAAAAGGAATCACTTTATGAATTGAGCAGAAGCACCGAGTGTTGACTTGGAAATTTCGGATGAAGCAAGTGTCTTTTTTCCATTGTTTTATTTCCCTGCCTGCCTGCCTGCCTCCCTCCCACCTTCTCTCATTCATTCTTTTTCTTCCTTCCTCCCACTCTCCCTCATTCCCTCCCCTATTTCTTCCTTGTTGTTTCTTTTGAATATTTCTTGCCACTCTGCCTGGCTTCCTAATACATCAAAGAGATCAATTGCAGTCAAGGCCCTGATGAGGAAATGCAAGCTTAGGTTTTCAGGCACTGTTCATTTTCGTTATAGCCACAATGTCACTGATAGCTGGGCAGCAGGCTCACACTGGCCGGGGAGCTCCAACAAAGCTGCTCCTTCTGGAAACCAGAGCCAACATGTGCTGGGCCACAGCATATCAAGCTGACGTAGAGAACAGAGTGGGCATTTCTACATCTCTTCTTTTTTAGATTTATTTGAAAGGCAGAGTTGCAGAGAGAGCAGAGGCGGGGGTGAGGGTGGGGGAAGAGAGGTCTTCCATCTGCTGGTTCACTCCTCAAATGGTGACAACAGCCGGAGCTGGACCTATATGAAACCAGGAGCCTGGAGCTTCTTCTGGGTCTCCCTTGTGGATGCAGGGGCCCAAGGTCTTGGAACATCTTCCCCTGCTTTTCCAGGGTGCATTAGCAGAGAGCTGGGTTGGAAGTGGAGCAGCCAGAACTTGAACTGGCACTGTAGGCGGTGGCTTTACCTGCTCCACCACAGTGCCAGCCCTTCTACGTCTCTTCTTAAGACCACAGCAGAGAGGGTGGGCTGCAGTGCACTATGACAATTTCAGAGTAAATATAAAGACTCTCTTGGTTGCATTTTCCATCTTCCTGTGGTGGGATCTAAGTGAAAGCAGGACCCACTATTCAATTGGAAAGGTGGAATTGCTGCCACCTGGCAAGTTCAGGGTGTGTTCTAGTTAAGGTCAGAGTTAGATCAAATTGTCCTTTACCTGTGTAGACACTGAAGAGAGTTGACTTTCTTCCAAGGAGTGTGTGTTGAAGATCTAGAGACAGGAAGAAAGCAGCCGATAGGGATACATTTACTGAAGTTATTTGGAGATCTTTACTTTGTAAGAAATCAATTCTAGTATCTAGAGCAGAAACTTGAGTTTTCAATGTATTCCTCTTTTGGGTGGTCCCAGATGCCAGCGGGAGCATCTTCCCTGTGTGCTTGTTCCAGTACCTCTGAACCAGCTTCCCCAGCCCTCTGTAGAGAATTCACCCCAATTATACACTATGTTTGTGCTGCCTGTGGTTTGGGGGTGAACATTCTATGACCGCTGTGTCTCTACAAGTCTTCCTTCAGTCTGTCCTTCCTCTCTTCAGTTTGCACACGGAGACTCATCAACCAGGGGTATTTGAATACAATGATTGATGGAATATCTCCTCCTTCTCATCTGGGCTGCACTCAAGGGATCACAGTATTCCCAAGGACCATCCTTGCCATGTGCACCACCATCTTGGCATCAGCACTCCTGGCTTCTCCACCATCCTGACTTTATGTCAGATCTTATCTCAGTCACAAAACACTAGATCACAGATCACCTCTGACATCTTTGCATCTTCAAGGTGGCTCCCCAAAGTTGCTGAAGTCCACCTCAGTGTAAAGGATATCATCTGTCAGGTGCCTTGCAAGAACAGGTTGAGTGCTTCCATGCACAGGTGCATTTTCAGCCAGCTTGAGTAGGTATTCCACTTGTTTGGAGGATCAGGCCTAGCCGCCTTGTCTCTCTTTCTGTATATGAGGACCTTGGCTCAGAGAACAGAGATTACCAGGGTATCCCATAATGTGATTTTCCATTCTCTCTGTATCTCAGGTAAACATTTGCAGAGGCCCCTAGACAAAGAGTAAAGTGACAGATTAGGGGCCAAGAAAGACAATAGGTAAAGATAGGGAGGCTCTGGGGATGGTTCCAATGGCTCAAAAGCTGGTAATGTGAGGACTTTTCATGTTGCCACCATTAGACAGGCGCTCAACCCTCACATCTCTACAGGGAGGTCTCAGCAGGTGCAACCATAGCCATACGGGCGTGGTTGTTACTGCCTCAGATTGCCCTGAGGGCCCAGCTTCTTGTCTGATTCATCGAGAAAAGTCTGGTACCAAAGCTCTGGGCTCCTCTGCCCCTTGAAGGCTCACTTAGCAATGTTGCTAAAGACAAGCTAGATGCCAACCAGACTTCTACATTTCAAGCAGAGTATGGGCACAGGCCTTAGATTGCTGTTACAGAAGTCCTCCTTATGCTTCAACAAATTAGTCTGATGACCAAAGGAAGGATGCTGTTGTGTGAAGCTTTGGCTTGGGGCATCTGGCTCTCCCGCCAACACCAGCTGGATATCGCTTCTGCTTCAGTCTGTGGTCCCATCTGACCATCATCCATATCCTACCT